CAGGGCACAGGTGTTGGAGACCCACTCCAGCCGGGCCAGGGGTCCCTGAAGGATGGACGGTGTCGGCGAGAGAGAGAGAGAGAGAGAGAGAGAGAGCCCCGAGATTCTTTCTGATCACCAGGCAGGCATCTCTGCCCTGTCGGTTTGGGTGTCTTTATTTAAAGGTCCAACGACAACCTGAGATCAGAAAAAGGAATTTTTACAATGGAAAACTCTTTGTGATAAGATGCTTTGAAAAGTATAAAAGAATAGGCTTTTCAGAAGTATTCTTGCAAAATTACCCCAATCATAGTGAGGTTGAGTAAATCTTACAACTAAGAAAATAACAGGATGTTCTTAGTGAAAAACAGGATGACATACATATTTGTTCTAAGTTAATAAAGCAAAGATTAGGACATAGGTTAAGTTGTATATAGATAGGCTAGGAGTCATTCTGTCTGTCTCACAAGAGGACAAATGGTTTTGAGCTGGTTAATAAACGTTTTTGACTTGATGCTGAGTGTATAAACACCATGGAGGCCCTAAATGTGTCAGCCTTTGTTTTTGGGTTATGTTTTAGCTACTCTTATCTATCCTCATCCCAGCCACCAGTGTAAGGGAGAGCGTTTGGGGAAAGTAGGCCTTCGGGAAGGGACTGCAATACATCACCAGTTAGAAAAGGTATGAGTATTAAGTTCTACCCTTATCTGTTGCTTAGCTCTAAATTAGGCTCTTTGTCTCAGGGCCAGGCTCAATTGTAACTCTTGTGTTCTTAGCCCCCTTTATTATCTAAGTCTTGGATCTATAAGGCCCATAGAAAGAGCCTTTTGACAATCATCCACAGAACTTTCATCTAAAATCTCATTTGAAGAGGCAAGAATATGCTTTTCCTTAGCAGGTATCTGTGTGGGGAATATCGGCCTGATCTGGAATATTGTGAGGCCTGGTCAATACCAGCAGCCTCATTTCCAACATAAGCCAGTAGTAGCAGAAGGAGATACCAGTTTTTGTTTCTCATGGCAGGAGCTGTGCAAACGGTGCCATTTCCTCGCTGGTGACTGTCATCCAGCGAGGCCGGTGCGGCTCCCAGCACACAGGGCTCCTCATCTATCCAGCTCCCCACCCACAGTCAGTGGCACCCACAGTCTGATCCTCGCCATTCTGATGGTAGAACACTTCACGGTTCCAGTCCACGGCTTCTAAGAGCTGGCGAGAATCATCCTCTCTCCACATACTTGTCAGCTGCCGGGTCTTTCCGTTCCAGAACTGGCCATGTAGCTTTCCACTGGGCTGTCCGTATTTCACTTGCAACCTCTCCACAGAAAGACTACTTCCACAGCTGGACAAGCAACAGCCAGGCATAAGCCAGGCCAGGCCAGTCCCCTTAGACCCACGCATCCTACCTCTACGAATTTATTTGAAAGAAATCAGTGGCGCTGTGCATGAAGATATAGCTTACAAATGTTCATCACAGTGTTTTTTATCAAAAACCCATTAAGGGGAGGCTCCTGGGTGGCTTAGTCAGTTGGGCGTCCGATTTGGGCTGAGGTCATGATCTCAAGGTTTTGAGTTCAAACCCCTGCTGGCGTGGAGCTGACTTCGGATCCTCTGTCCCCCTCATCTCTGCCCCTCCCCCGCTCATGCTCCCCCACTCCCTCTCTCTCAAAAATAAATAAAACGTTGTTTGAAAAGTCCATTAAGAAGATACAAAAATGAAAAGGCCCATTGATATGAAGGCAAAAAGAAATGTCAGCAGCATCAGTGGGCCAGACAGGCAGGTGACCACCAGAAAACCACAGTTATAAGTAAGGACAAGCAGCGCTTACAATCCCAGGGACAGAGGGAGGCCGGAATCAAAGGACCAGAAAGACAGGGCAAGTGGTCCCTCCGGGAAGCAGGGACGAGCCAGCCCCCAGGCTGACCCAGGCCAGCTGTGTGGAGAGTGGGCTCAGGGCACAGGCCGGGTGACCAAACCAGTCTGGGCCTCCACCAGAGTCTTTATAGCCCGCGGTTAGGGTGGGAGCCCATCCAGCCTGGAGCCCAGGGGGAAGGGAGAAGCCTGCTGCGCTGCTGTCCCTTTGTCAGCTTCTCGTCCAAGTCTGTTTTCAAGGGCTCACCCAGTGTGCAATTCTCTTTGTTCTCAGCCATTTACAAATAGGTGCTCTAATTAAAGCTCTCTGATGTGGCCATGATTGCCTTGTAAAGCTGTGGGGCTGTTTTCTGCTTACCAAGAATGGTATTTCACAGCCGGTGTACCCTCTCCCTTGCAAGCCCCTGCTTAACCAAGACCAGTCACCCTGTTAGTATGGGGCGAAGATGCGGGCGGCACCTCCCACCTCCAGGCACCCATTCAGTCCTCCCAACAGCCCAGTCAGGCATGGATTCCATTCATATTTTGCCAGGAAGGAAAATGGGGAAACATGACTTGCCCGGGGTCACAAAGCTAGTCAACGGGAGAGCCGGGCTTCAAACCCATGCCTTCTTTTTTTTTTGTATATATATATATATATTTTTTTTTTTTTTTAATTTCTAGAAGAGAAAGACAGCGTGAGCAGGGGAGGATCAGAGAGAGAGGGAGACACAGACTCTGAAATAGGCCCCAGGCTCTGAGCTGGCAGTCAGCACAGAGCCTGACGTGGGGCTCGAACCCACGAACCGCGAGATCATGACCTAAGCAAAAGTCGGACGCTTAACCGACTAAGCCACCCAGGCGCCCCAAACCCAAGCCTTCTTAACTCCAGAGTCTGCACTGCCATCATCTCCAGGGAGGACAGAGGCCTGGCATACTCGTGGCTCTCCCCGCCCCCCACCCCGGCCAAGGAAGTGGGTATGTCTACACAGAGACCCCCAGTGAAGTGTGTAACTCCATACCAGCCCAGCGGGTTATGACAGAGGAGACGGGTCAGAGCACAGAGGTGCAATTACCAGCACAGCAGCGGAGAAGCCTTCCGGCGAGATTCACCGCCTTGCATCCCTCAGCGTTTTACCAAGAAATAAATCCTACATAATCCTTGGACACGCACTGAGAAACTTCCAGGTGCTCCGCACGTCCAGCTGAGATAAGGGGAGCAAAAGAGCTCGCTCTTCCTTGGATGTCTGGTAGATTGTGACCCAGCAAACAGTCCACATGAAAGTACCCACCGGCCAGCCCTCCCATAGAAGTGCTCCCAAATCCCACCAATGGCCACTCAGCTCCTCCCCAGGCCTTGCCTTCTTGGGCATCTCTTACCCCAGAAACACCTACCCCACAGCCCATACCCACAGGGCTCCCACTCTACACACGAGAGTCCGTGAAAATGTTTCCACAAGGCCCAAGCGGAGGGGCTGGTAATAGGATCGATGCACACGTTGCCTAGCCCCCTGAACAGATTTCCACAGCATCATCACCTACCTTCCCAGAAAAGATGGCCCTTCCTTCACCCTGGGACATAAGTGACCCACTTGCCCTGAGAGGAGTAAGGAGGGCAAAAGGTGAGGCCCTTTTGCATGGAGGGCTATTTTTAGCCCAGACTGGGTCAGCACATGCTTGCAGCTGGTCAGTAAACAGGTCCATCAAAGGAGTCATGCTCAAGTACAAAGGCAGTCAAGAGCCTTGCTCTTGGAAGGGTTTATGAGCTCAGATCCGCAGGGTTGGAGGAACCTCCTGGCTTGGTCCCACTGTCCACCCACCAAAGCCATCACTGGTCCTGGCGCAAAGGGTTGAGGGGGGAAATCATGAGAATGTGGCCATTGGGACAGCCCCTCACTTCCTCTCATGGCATGGGGGGTCCTCAGAGGAGAGGAAGTGATGCCATTTCAGGACGCTGGTGACGTCCCTTCCCCTCATCTCCAGCACCTCTCATCCCTCCTGGTGGGGACTTACACACCAATATTCATCATTCACTTCCCTACTGACAACCTAAAGGGTGCCCAGAGCCCATTATCAGATCCCAACTCGGCCTAAGCATCCCGGGACCTTCTCTCCACCTGGGACTTCTCCTTCCCCACTGGCCAAATGTTGCCGCCCCTGCGTGCACACCCCCTCTCCTACCTCCAAATACCTCTGCTGGATTCCCAGAACCTAGGGAATGAATGCAAGAATGCATGATTACACAGTCTAGCCTCCAAATCAGAGCTGGACTCCTTTCTCATCTCCTCCCAACCCTGCCCCCACCCCACCCCACGCCTGCTTCAACCCACCTCCAGGCAGTCTTCCCTGATTAATCTCTGTCGCTCTGGGGAATTCCACACTCCCACTCCTGCCCCCTAGTCCCCAGCAACAAGGGCCAGAACTCTGAAGAATGGCCCCGATTCTCTCGTGAACTGACTCAGTTTCTCCCATGGTCCACCTGGTGTCCGAAGGCTCGTCTTCCTAGGGATACCCAAAGTGCAGAGACCATGCTACCTCCCAAACCTCTATCCCCACTGCCCTCCCTGACTAGGCTCTGGGTAGGAACAGGTCCAGAGAGGCTGATATTGGCCATGGAGAAAGGGACATGCTGAGAGAGACAGAGGAAGGCAAAGAAGCCTCTAGAACAACAAGCTGTTTGGGACACAGCCCGCTCCTTGGGACAGGCTAGCCATCTACCCTGAGGCCGGGTCATAGGTCTGGGGCCCATAGCCCAGCGATGCCCCTTCCAGAAAAGAGAGCACGTTCCACCGCAGGTCACTCGCTATGCCCATTCCCTGTAGTCAGAGTGTGGAGTCCAACTGATGCTTCCAGGACCCCTTCCCTTTCTCCACCTCTAGTAGCAATGGGAGGGGGAGAGGTAATGAGGAAGCTTGTTAATAGCTTTGAAGATGAAACAGGCCTGTGGCTGTGGATTGTTGACACAGCTACACTGAAGAGGCAAGCCAGGTTGGCTCTTAAGAGGCCCGGGTGATGCCAAGCCAATAAAATGCAGCTATTGTCTCTTTGCTGCCCCTTTTAATGCCAGCTGCCTCTGGTGCATAAAAGGGCCTGCCGCAGCCCAGGGAGCACAAGCCTTTGGCTCCGTCCTCTGCCAGCTTCTCCAGCGCTCCGACACCGTCCTATCTCCAACATGACCTGTGGCTTCAGCTCCGCGGGCTGCGGATTCGGTCCCAGGACCTTCAGCTGCGCCTCGGCCTGCGGGCCCCGGCCCGGCCGCTGCTGCATCACCGCCGCCCCCTACCGCGGCGTCTCCTGCTACCGCGGCCTCACCGGCTTCGGCAGCCGCAGCGTGTGCGGCGGCTTCCGCGCCGGCTCATGAGGCCGCAGCTTCGGCTACAGCTCCGGCGGCGTGTGCGGGCCCAGCCCGCCCTGCATCACCACTGTGTCGGTCAACGAGAGCCTCCTCACGCCCCTCAACCTGGAGATCGACCCCAACGCGCAGTGCGTGAAGCACGAGGAGAAGGAGCAGATCAAGTGTCTCAACAGCAGGTTCGCTGCCTTCATCGACAAGGTGGGTGTCCTTGATCAAGCCTTTCCTGAACTCCACCCCTGCTCAGGACTCCAGCAGGGCACTGAGGAGGGGGTCAGAGGCAGGCATCTGCCCATAGAAATCCCCAACCAAGTCCAAAAGGGGAAGCAGTCAAACCTCTAGGACACAGACAGAAAGACAGAGTAGAATCAGGAGCTGCCAATCTGATGGGGGAAGACAAACTGAAGACTCATAAGCAGAACTAGACACAAAAACTTTAGTGCTGAGAGATACCATCTCACGAGCACAGGGCTGCCGTGCGGGTATTCAACGTATTTGAAATCAAGTAGCCGTTTGCATGGGAAGCTGGCTCCCTATGGGACAGAGGAAGACTGCCTGGAAGGAAGGCTGTAGATCACACAGAGTTGTTTCTCTGCCACATGTTTAGAGCCGGGGCCATAGTGGTTTATCCAAGCCTTGGGGCTCAGGATCCAGGGTGAACAGTAGCCCCTACTCTGTGGGCCTTACAGGTAGGCAGACAGCATACGGTCGGGACGCAGCTGAAACCATCTGCTGATGTCAGTGTCTGGCTCAAGTCTGCAGCCATTTCCCCGTGAGGGGAGGATCGAGAACTCTTCAACTAGAAAGCAGTTCTGGAGCTGGTGAGGGCTCTCCAGAGCCGACCTTGAAGGAGGTCGCTCTGCAGAAATGTCCATCAGGAAGGACCCAAAAAGTGTAGAACTCCTACCAACACGAAACACCAAGGATAGCACGGGAAAGGATACCAGGGTTGTAGCAGCCTCTGGACAAAGGGACCTGAGTAAGGAAGTAGACCAGCTGGGCCAGCCTGCTGGCAGGGAGATGGATGTGAGTTTTTCCTGGGGCCCGATGGTCTGTCATTATTATAGTGACAGAAGAGCCCTCTGGGGTACAGAAGTTCAGCATTTGGGTCTCTCCCCTGCCGTTGTAAGGTCTCAGGCAGTCTGGTAATATCCCTGGGCCTTCAATGCCGCATCTATAAAATGGGAGGGTTGGAGTATAGAGTGCGCCTGCACTAATATCGCAGGTGACTATTATTCTAATTACCTTGTTGTTGCAAGGTTTCAATAATTGGCACGCACTTTATTTTTCAACTTCTGCAGTCTGCCTTTCTAAAAAGGCCAGCCTGCTCATCTGCACGCTGACAATCGCACCTGCCCTGTGTAGCGCTGTCCAGCACACAGGTGCCCGTCCATGCCAGGCTCACCAAACCCTCTTCGTGAAGTGAGCATTAGCCTCACTCAGCGAAGAGGTTACCTGCCGTGCCCAAGGACACGTTATTAACGAGCAGCAGCAGACTCTGGACTCAGCGTAGTTTAGCGCATTCCTCGGCACCAGGTAATAGCCTAGGAAAGACCGCAGTGAGATCTCAGGGAGGACTTCTGGGTGAGCTGATTAAGCCCTGGTGTGGTTTTGACATTACCCCAGCCGGGGAGGACTCTGGGTCTGAGAGTCGGGACCCCGCAGGTCCTGGTGCTGGGATCCCCGCCTCTTGCCCCACCTCCCCCCCCCAAACCCCAAGGAGAGATTCTCAGGCTCTGCCTCTGGGCGGCAGGTGCGCTTCCTGGAGCAGCAGAACAAGCTTCTGGAGACCAAGTGGCAGTTCTACCAGAACCGCAAGTGCTGCGAGAGCAACCTGGAGCCGCTGTTCGAGGGCTACATCGAGACGCTGAGGCGGGAGGCCGAGTGCGTGGAGGCCGACAGCGGGAGGCTGGCCTCCGAGCTCAACCACGTGCAGGAGGTGCTGGAGGGCTACAAGAAGAAGTGAGTGCTAGAAGGCGCCGGCTTGGGCAAGGGCTTGAAGGGAGCCCCCAGTGCAGGGAACAGCATCTGGGTCTGTGGCTGGGACTCTGCCCAAGGATGGGGAAGAATGTGCACTCTCTGCCCTTCCCGGAGGCACATGGGGTCTGAGGGTGGGCCCTGGGCCCCTGAAGGATGGAGTCCACCTGGCCTTCCCATCCACAGGTCAGGGAAATGATATTCTCACCCTTTCTCCATCCACCGGACACTTCTCTTAGGATCCCAGAAAAATCAACACTCAGTGCCTTTGAATCTAGCCTTCAGGGCCTTGGACATTTCTTCTCAAGTGTACTTGTTGACTCGGCGAGCCATCTCTGAGCGCCTACCAGGTGCCAGGCAGACACTGAGAAGGGTGCAAGCAATCCAAGAGCACGATGTGGACACAGTGCCTGTCCTCATGGGGCTTGCAGGCTGCTGGGAAGCAGGCCTGACACGGTCACAGCACAGGCCACTGGTCATAAAGTGCGACACAGGATACAGAGGGTATATGCTGGGTCTTCTACAGGGTGCTGCTTCAAGGAGTGGCTAATAGCGATCTCGGCCATGAACTTGCCAGTCCACCACGCTCCCTGCCTCTGGCTCTGAGCTGGCCCTGCCCACAGAGTGGGAGGAAGTGGCAGGCTTGACTGGTGTTGGCAGAGCCCGGGAGGGGAACGACTGAGAGGCACCCCCACCACCTAGAGCAAAGCCAGGGGAAGAAGAAAGGAAAATGGAGACCTGAGTGAGAAAAAACAGGAACCTCCCACTCCCCCGGCCCTGCACACACACGCGTGCACGCAGGCACACACACTCCAAGCTTCCAGATCCTGCCCCCACCATCCCCACTGAGAAGCTCAGAGGTGACATGAGTGTGGGCACATGTCACTTCTCCAGTGTATCTCAGTAGGCCTGGGCAGGCAGCCTGATTTCTTCTTGGTCTTGCCCCATTTCTTCTGGAGGCAAGGGGCGAGCAGGGAGAGGGTCTAGGAATCGGGAGTGCTTCATGGCCAAGTTGAGAGCCACTCAGACACGGTCCTATTCTTCCCTCCCCCACCTCAGGTATGAAGAAGAGGTCGCACTTCGGGCCACAGCAGAGAACGAGTTTGTGGCTCTAAAGAAGGTGAGTACCAGAAGCCCAGCCCCACCCTGAGTCCCTGGCCACCCCATCCTCGCCTCCCCACCACTCTGCGGCCAAGCCCTCAGGGCGCCCTGAGGACAGCTGGCTATACAGACCCTTGAACCCCACACAGGACGTGGACTGCGCCTACCTCCGCAAGTCTGACCTGGAGGCCAACTCAGAGGCCCTGGTGCAGGAGATCGACTTCCTGAGACGCCTATACGAGGAGGTGAGGGGGCTCTCAGCCGCGGCGGGCATGCCCAGCCCCCTGCCCAGGCCCCCAGAGGCCTGCTGACTTGGAAACCCAGGCTCCAGGCTGGAGGGTTGCAGGGGAGCAAGGAGAGGGAAGGAGGGAGGCAGAGGAATGAGGAAAGAAAAGGAGGCGGGATTAGTAAGGGGCCCACCCACGCAAAGGCCATTCGAACATCCCATAGCCTCCAGCGGTTTTCTCCGGCAGCCAATAGCCTTCCTTTATAGGTTTGGTCCAGGAGAATGAGAACTGGGACTGACACAGGGTCTGAGCCCTGGGAAACATCCACAGAACTCGAGCTTAGGGAAGCAGCCTAGGCTCACAGGGACCTAACTATCCCTGAAGCAAGCATTTGAAGAGTGGTCACATCTTCCTCTAAGAGGAATTTCTTCTCTGCACATAAAGTCATACAATTTCATCAGAGGAGTATCAGCTCCACATATAAGACTTTGGCTCCAAATGGACCAAGGAAAGTATAGGCATCAGCATCAGCAGGTGACAAAAAGCACAGATAACTTGCTTCTACTTCCCCCACTCCCACCCCCACAGGAGATCCGCATTCTCCACGCCCACATCTCCGACACCTCAGTCATCGTCAAGATGGACAACAGCCGAGACCTCAACATGGACAGCATTGTGGCCGAGATCAAGGCTCAGTACGACGACATCGCCACCCGCAGCCGGGCTGAGGCCGAGTCCTGGTACCGCAGCAAGGTGAGGGGCACAGGACACCTGCCTCTAGGCATGACAGTGGGAGGGAAGCCAGGTATATATTAACAAGGCCTCTTCTGTCTGGGGCTTCTGGCCCTAGGGATGGTAACAGAAGGCACACAACTCTCAGGTTCTAGTGTCTGGGCAGGGCTGCCCTGTATGGTTGCACAGGCTGAGCTCTGTACAACCTCCCAACCATCTGTGGGGTCCGAAAGGGAGGAAACTCCATCCTGAGCCTCAGGAGCATCTCTGCTTAAACCCAGTGCGAGGAGATGAAGGCCACAGTGATCCGGCACGGGGAGACCCTGCGCCGCACCAAGGAGGAGATCAACGAGCTGAACCGCATGATCCAGAGGCTGACCGCCGAGGTCGAGAATGCCAAGTGCCAGGTATGGGTCGCCTGGGGCCTCCCCAGGGCCACAAAGGCAGTGAGTGCCCCAGATGGGTCTCACCATTCATGATCCAGCTTCCTTGCATGACAAATGTCCCTGGTTGTGGTCCCTCAGGGGGACTCGGTTAATGAAGGGGAGACACCAGTTCTTGGGGTGTTCCCAACTGGGGGAGGGAAGAGACTGGACATCCACAGGAAATGGACAGAGAGACCCAGGACCATAACCCACTCTGTTCTCTCCTGGGCCCCAGAACACCAAGCTGGAGACGGCAGTGACCCAGTCAGAGCAGCAGGGTGAGGCGGCCCTGAGCGACGCCCGCTGCAAGCTGGCCGAGCTGGAGGCCGCCCTGCAGAAGGCCAAGCAGGACATGGCCTGCCTGGTCAAGGAGTACCAGGAGGTGATGAACTCCAAGCTGGGCCTGGACATCGAGATCGCCACCTACAGGCGGCTGCTGGAGGGTGAAGAACAGAGGTAGGACCAACCAGCTGCCCCAGGAATTATACTTGCATGCACCGCCCACCTTTGATTATATTTACATATACTGCCCACCTCCATATCCCAGTCTCGGTCCCAAGAACTGACCCCAAGCTAGACTCTGGGGTCTAGGAATCCCAGATTTCAAAGGACCAGATCATGGATGTAGCATACAGAGAGAAAAATGAAGGCCAGGGTCACTGTGAGGTCTAGAGAACCCAGGGCCAGAACAAAGACACCCCCTCTCTCAGTTTAGAGCATCCTCGAGTCATTCCATCCTCAAGTCTTTCAAGATCCACTCACTGCCTAGGAGGTTATCTTGCCCAAGAGTGGAGTTGCAGGCCAAACTGTGACACTGGCCTCATGCAGACTGTCAAGAGAGCCTTCCCTTTCCTAAAGCTGAACCCTTCCAAGTATGCCATATATGGTTGTTCAGGCTATGCACAGCACAAAAGCAACCATTTGAAGAGCAAATAAGAGCTGAAATCCAGCCCATGCTCTGCTTGCCAAATAACGTGGCCTGGCATTGCTGCAATTGCCAAAAAGATACTATTTAAAAGTTATACAGGGGCATAAATATAGACCAGAAAGAGACCTGAGATGATCTATCCCAGCATAGAGGAAATTTGAGGATCTCATTCTGACTTCTTTTCTCATTCCTTTCTCACCTTTTCCCCACTCAGGCTGTGTGAAGGTGTTGGAGCTGTGAATGTCTGTAAGTATCTTGAGCCCTGAAAAGAAAAATTTTATGTTGGGCACAAGAATTTCCATGCTATGAGTATATAGATACACTTGGGCGGGGGGAGGGGGGTTGCAGAGGAGTGTTTCCAATAATTCTCCCAGTAAATGGTAGTAGGTTGGTCATGGAGTAAGAGAGACTAAGGTTAGTTTGCAGGAAGAACTGTACAGCATAAATGGAGTAGGGGCATAACAGGTCACTGGGGACAGAACCTGAGATGTCACTCAATACACCACCACCTTATATAGGTGAGGAAGCTGAGGACCAGAAAAAGGAAGGGGCTTGCCCAAGGTCACAAAGCAGAGCTAGTCTCAGAACCCAGGGCTCCTGGCTCTCCGATGAAGTTCCTTTCCATGCAGCTGAAGGTCCTTTGTGTTAGGCAGATCAGAGGGGCCAAAGGAAGCTGGCCAGATGGGGTGGCCACCAGCCAGAACTCCTGACTGTGCCCTCGTTTCTACAGGCGTCAGCAGCTCCCGGGGCGGGGTGGTCTGCGGAGATCTCTGCGTGTCCGGCTCCCAGCCCGTGACCGGCAGTGTGTGCAGCGCCCCCTGCAGTGGGAACCTGGCGGTGAGCACCGGAATGTGTGCGCCCTGCGGCCAGCTCAACACCACCTGTGGAGGGAGCTCCTGCGGACTGGGGAGGTGTTAGGTGGCCCCAAGAGAGAGCCAGAGAAGCCCCTTCTGCCTGCCAGGTGTGCCCTGCCTCCACCTCCAGCTGAGAACAGCGGTGCCTCAGTAGCTCTTCCCCTCGTGTTCTGAGAATACACCATGCGGCTCATTCCCATCAGCCACTCCTCTGCTCATCTTGTCCTACAGGAGGGGGCCGCTGCCTGGGAATGGTCAGCATTCCCTTCCTCTCTGTTCGCCTCTGGCCCCTCCCAGGGAGAAGGACTCGCCTTCCCTGCCAGGAGCACTGCTGGATGCCTCCCCTGCCTCTCTGGTCTCTTGTCTCCCGTTTTCCCAATAAACTGGAGGAAGTGCTTTCTGTGCTGTGGTATCTTACTTCCTTGGCATGAGCCCATGTCCACTGACTGGTGAGTGCCCCGGCCCAGCGATGGGGCCTCTGAAGACTGGGGCGGATCTGGGCCATCTCAGAGCCTGGACACCTGCAGGGCTGGTCCCCAGACAGTGCCATCCTCCCCTGGCCAGGCAGTGCTGACTGAGCCCCCAGCACCTTGCACCTGTGTCAACTGTCAGTGGGAGGAAGTTTGGGACTTATTCCCCTGACTGGTTCTGAAGGGAACCAAAGCAGGTCATGGGGTCTGCCGGAAGGCAGCTGGGGGAGTTGGCTCTAGCCTCCTTCTCCCTCACATACACCTCACTTTCCTGGTACACGCTCACTCCCTCCCCTCCCCACCACCACCCCTACACACACACACACACACACACACACACACACACACACACACCACAGCAGCAACAACCTCAGGTGGCCACCCTGTGTCAGTTTGGACCCCACCCCATCTCGTTCCCTCTGCTGCCCATCAAACAAGGGGAGATAAGGCCCTTGACACCCACCTCTTGCCCATCCTTCCTGCCCCCCATATACACCCCTGTTTAGCACCTGGGACAGCGTCTTCAAAAGCCCCGCAGCTGGTAAGAGGATACAACCTACTCATTTTCTCAGCTCCCTCCACACTCCCCTCATCCTCAGATACCTCAGAGCTTCAATCCCAAGGCTGAGAGGGCTCCCTTCTCTGCCCCCCCTCCGCACGGTCTGACCTCTCTTGCTCTCCGTTCAGGAAGAGTCAAGGAGTTCTTGGGAGGAGAAACTTGGGAGGCCTCTATCCCTCCTGAGGAAGAGCCAGGCCTGCAGTAGCCCTCCTCGGGCCCCAGCCCTCCCGTGCAGTCTACTTCCTCTCACCCACTCTCTTCATTTCTCCCTTTGCCCCAGCCCTACCCAGCCCCCATGCTGGCCCCTCTCCTCCAGGCCCTGCTCCTTCCCACCCATCTCCCCAAGCTGTCCTACGAGGACCGGCTACCTTCCCTCATTCCCTCTTGAAATCCCGGGGCCCTTTCAGCTCCTCACCCAAGCCCCCTAGTCTCCCTGTGGCCCTCCGTCCCTCCCCATTCCTGAGTCTCAGGCCTTCCCCTGCCTTCTTCTGCCTTCCTTTGCCTTGTTTCAGGCTCTCAGCTGCTCCCAGGCCATCCCACTCCCTGGCTCATGTCCCTCATCCATACAACCTTGCCCTTGAACTTTCCAGTGCCTCGGGGTCCCTCTCTCGCCTCTCGGCACACACTGCCTGGGCAATGACATCAGTCTCTGGTCTGCAGTCACCACTACAGTTAATGGCCTCCTTGATTAAAATTCTCCAACTGCACTTCCGAGTCCAGATGGCTCCCCTGCTCTCACTCCCCAGCTTCAGACCCACTTGCCCCAGTTCCTACAACACGTCTCCACTTGGCAGTCCTGGAGACTCTTCTAACCCACCAGACCTTCCCGCTGAACTCACTATGCGCACTCTCTCCACCGGAGCCTCCTCTTGTGCCCCTGTCAAGATCATTAGCACACTTGCCCAGAGCTATTATCTCCCCATGTCTGCATCCTCACCCTCAAAACCAATTAACCCCCAAGTGCTTTCCTTTTCTACCTCTTAAGTGCCCCTCTAATCCATCCGTTTCCTCTCTCTCTGCTGCCACCACCCACATTCCAGCCACCGCCATCTTGGTTGGAGTGCTGGCCTTCTCCCCTCCCAGCCCACACTACACAGCAGACAGGGGTCTTTATAAAACACAAGTCTGACCTTTCAGCGGAGCCCCACTGCCCTCGGGATGAAGTCCAAACTCTTGAACACAGCACACCCATCCTGAATATTTGGCTTTGACCTCAATCCTTCTCCCCACTCCTCGTCACCCCCACCTTTCTCCCTGCCTCTGGCTCAGGATGCCTTGAACACACGTCAAGTGAGTGCTGGCCCAGGGGCTCTGCAAGGGCCTTTCCAGTTCTGATCTTCTTGGGTAGTGACCCCGAGCTCTGCTCTAAGATCATAATACTCCCTTCCCAGGGACTTAAGGAGGATACTGTAAAGACTGCCAGCCTTGTGATGTCATCCAGGTGCCCCAGGGGATCCCAGGGAGACCCCATGTCTCCGGACGGGATGCACCTTCCTTCCAGCCTGCCAGCTCCAGGCACCAGGCAGGACTGATGTTGCATACTCTCCATTTATGAGAGCCTCCTTTCCTAGGTCCCACTGCCACCTCTCCATTGACGACAGGTGCAGCCACAAAGAGACCTGGGCCTTGGAGCTAAGGGCAAAGGAGAAGCGTAGTTGGAGGATTATTAACCCGGGAAAGCTGGTTACCTCCCAAAGGAAGTAATATTGACGCCAAGACCTAAAGGAAGAACAGGAGTTCATTTATTCAATCAACAAATAACTATAAAGCATCTAATATGTACCAAGTGCTGTTACACAAGCCAGGGTTCCTGTAAGTGATGGACATAATCACAGATGCCTGTCCTCCACAAAGTCTATATCTTACAGAAAAATGTCAACATAAGTTAAGGAGTTAACCAGGAGGAAGAGATGTGTTCTGCTGGAGGCCGGCTCCAGCAGGTCCAGGGGTCCCTGAAGGATGGACGGTGTCGGCGAGAGAGAGAGAGTGAGAGAGCCCTGGAGATTCTTTCTGATCACCAGGCAGGCATCTCCATCCTATCGGTTTTGATGTCTTTATTTAAAGGTTCAACAATAACATGACATCAGAAGACAGAATTTTTACAGGGGCTAATTATTTGTAGTAAGATGCTTTGATCAGCGGAAGGTGTACAGAAACAGGCTTTACAAAAGTATTCTTGCAGAACCTCCCCATATTCTTGACATCAGTCCCCTAGATTAAGATACTAACAAACTTACCTTATTTTGCATGGGTAGGCCTCTAGACGATTTTTTTAAATGTTTATTTATTTTTGAGAGAGAGACACACACACACAGAATGTGAGCAGGAGAGGGTCAGAGAGAGAGGGAGTAACAGAATCCGAAACAGGCTCCAGGCTCCGAGCTATCAGCACAGAGCCCAACGCGGGCCTTGAACCATGAGATCATGACCTGAGCCGAAGTTGGAGGCCCAGCCAACTGAGCCACCCAGGTGCCCCGCCTCTAGACAATTTTTAATCACAAGAGGAAGAATGTATATTAGGCTTGTTCCTAAGTTGCTTGAGCGAGCCTTTTCCTTGATGCTGAATGTGCAAGCCCCATGGGGGCCATAAATAGGTCAGTCTTTGCATCTGGGTTTATGTTTTAGCTACTCTTATCTATCCTCATCCCAGCTGCCAGTGTAAGGGAGGGTGTTTGTGGAAAGTAGGCCTTCTGGAAGGGACTGCTATGCATCACCAATTAGCAAAGATATATGTAGTAACTTATGTTCTGCCCTTATCTGTACCGTAACTTTAAATTAGGCTCTTTGTCTTAGGGCCAGGCTCAGTTGTAACTCTTGTGTTCTTAACCCCCCTTATTATCTAAGTCTTGAATCTGCAAGGCCCATAGGAAGAGCCTTTTGACAATCATCTACAGAGCTTTCATCTAAAATCTCTTTTGTAAAGGCAGGAATATGCTTTTCCTTAGGAGGTAATATGCTTATCCGTGTTCAGAATATCGGTCTGATATGGAATATTATGAGGCCTGGTCAATACCAGCAGGCTCATTTCCAACATGAGCCAGTAGTAGCAGAAGGAGATACCAGTTTTCATTTCTCATGGCAGGAGCTGTGCAAACGCTACCATATTCTTGCTGTGACTGACATCCAGAGAGGCCGGTGCGGCTCCCAGCAGTGCTCCAGACAGAGAAGAGCATATGAAGAGGTGGTTCGGAGAAAGAGCATGCAAAAATCCAGGAACTCTCATAAGTCCTAAGGGTGGTGGGGAGGAGGGGGACGGCTCTCCGGTGCCCTCGGAAAGCTTGGGATGAGCCTTTCCTGTCTGCACTCTCTTCCACAGCCCACTCCTTCCCACCCCCAACTCCACCCCAGAAAAGCTTTCTTCATTCGTAGTCGTTCCTCATTCCTACTTCCTTCCAGGCACTTTTTGCATTATCTTGCAGAGGTAGATGGCATGAGCCAATTCTGGGCTTCCCAGAGAGCAACGTGCCTCCTCTGCGGAAAGTTTCCATTGACCGCAAGGAACGTGAGCTACCTGGATGTCAGACCCCTGTGGGCTGACAAGCCTGAGGTGAGGCCCGCTGTGGTAGTGACCATACCCAGAGTAACAGTCCCTCAGTGCCTGCCTGGCCCTGCCCAGCAGCTGGAGCAACTGCTCCTTGAGTTATCACCCCCAAAACATGGAGAAATTGAGGTTCCAAAAGCTAAAAAGCCTTGACCACACACTCTTGGTGACTAAACCAGGACAAGAACCCCCAAAATTCCAGACTTTCAACACCCAGTCTTTTTTTTATGTTTATTTTTTAAGAGAAAGAGAGTATGTGTGTGTGTGTGTGTGTGTGTGTGTGTGTGTGTGTGTGAGCGGGGGAGGGGCAGAGAGAGAGGGAGACACAGAATCCAAAGCAGGCTCCAAGCCCTGAGCTGTCAGCACAGAGCCAGACGTAGGCCTCGAACTCATGAACCATGAAATCATGACCCGAGCCGAAGTTGGACACTTAATCCACTAAGCCACCTAGGTGTCCTGCAACACCCAGTTTTTTCTACAACCCTGCCCTGCCTCCTGTTGTTTAGAGGCTCAAAATGCTGTGCTGTGATGATACCACAGTAACAGTAATAACAATAATAACGGCACTTGCCAAGTGTGTGCCGCACCGCACTCCAAATTTTATGTGCATGGTCTCATCGAATCCTCAGTGGTGGCTGTCTTCAGAAATGGCCCTCAGCTATTCCTCCGTCTCTCTGCATGCCTGTCACTCCTCATTGCCCCTCCCCTGGATCTGAGCTGGGCCCGTGACTGCTCTGACCAATAGAATGTGGTAGAAGTGCCATTCTTGGGCTTCTGCACCTGGGACCTAAGGATTGGCAGCATGTGGAGGAGGACAGAGGCTCCTGGCCATCGGCCCCAGCTGAGCTCTCGGCCAGCGGCCAGCACCACATAGCAAGCACCTGAGTGAAGCCATTTGGACCTCCCCGAGGCCCCAGCCAATAATAAGAAGCAGAAGATCATCCAGGCTTCATCCCAGGGATCATCAGAAATATTGCTGTTTTAAGCCACTGGGTTTGGGGATACTTTGTGAATTGCAATAGATAAGTGAAGAAGAAATCCGTACCTGGAATCCAGGTGTTACTGCAAGAACACCTAAGACCTGTAACATTGTCAAACCAGGAGACAGAAACTTCACAGAAAGTCAAAATCTCGTTTTTCAGAGACCCGTTCCTCCCTAATCAGCTACTGTGTCTTTTCTGACCCCACTAACAAATACACTAGCTGCCCTGCAGAAGCCTGGACTCAAGGTCAACTCATATGGTTCCCGCCTATGAACAGGCAAGGCCCTGCATTCCTTACCAGAGACAAAGAACCCTGCTTATACTCACTCTCGGAGAGTGCCCATAGTCCCTGCTCCTTGTCCTGAAATCACCTCTTACATTAGGGGCTGAATTTTGCCGCCTTCTGATGCTAAGTGTCCACACCCAGGTGAACATGGGATGTATGTTTCATTATATGTATGTTTGCTCGGGGCGCGTGCTGCATCTGTTTTCATTAATAGTCCTAAGTGCCCCTGCCCTTTCCATTAACATGTACATAATCTCAGGGCACCTGGGTGGCTTAGTCGGTTAAGCGTCCGACTTTCGCTTAGGTCATGATCTCGCAGTTCGTGGGTTCGGGCCCTGCGTCGGGCTCTGTGCTGACTGCCAGCTCGGAGCCTGGAGCCTGTTTCAGTCTGTGACTCCCTCTCTCTCTGACCCTCCCCTGCTCGCGCTGTCTCTCTCTCCTAGAAATAAATAAAACAATTAAAAAAAAAAAAACATGTACATAATCTCAACTCCTATGATTGTAAAAAACAAAAAACAAAAAAAAAACAAAGCAAAACTTGTTCTCTCCCCCTTCACTGAGGCCGATAGGAGGCTTGCCATCCTGTCTCCTCATTTGGCTGCCTCTCGAATAAACCTTTCCTTTCTGCATACTCAGTGTCTCAAGGATCAGCTTGGCTGCACGTCGGACAAACAAACTTGGGTTTGGTCACAACTGGTTTTGGGACCAGGCACCAGGCAGAGTCTGAATGTCCTCAAGGAGACCATTAGAGAAAGGCGGATAGACAATGAAGTTATTATTAGATGCTGTAAAAGGCGACCCATATTATGTAGTGGTGACATGTTTGGCAGTACTATTGCCTGTGGTGACAAAGAAGATAAAAGGGACATCTATGGATCTGGGGATCTGGCTAGGGTTTCCAGGTAGAATGACGAAGTTGCCACTGGCTTCTAGCTGCCTACGATAAAATACAAGGGGACAGAGATGGACTGTGGAGGGAAATGTTCAGCTTTTTAGCACAATTCAGAAGGACAGTCTTTCCAGTTAGCAAAAGGTTCTCAAAGTAAAAAATGGCTGCAGAAAAAAGTTCAAATTCAAAGCCCTGCCAGTAAGCCATGCCCTCAAGCAAAAGCCAGATGAATACTGTGGCTGTTGGGTCATTTGCTGAGATCTCAGAAAGATTAAATTCGTGGCCTCTTAGACTCACTCCATGGACCAAAAGTTTTCTAAGCATCTGAAAGGCACCATCGTAGATATTCTCTGTCTGCTAAGCAACAGGGTTTCCAAGAATCTTAAGTGTTGTCCTAAAACATTATGACTCTCAGCCTAAGGTTGAGAGGAGCCTATCTCAAAGAGATATATGGGGATAGCTTCTGTCCAGCAAAGTCTGTCATCATTTGATACACCAGAAACAATATTAAAAAAAATTTTTTTAATGTTTATTTATTTTTGAGAGAGAGACAGAGCATGAGCAAGGGAGGGGCAGAGAGAGAGGGAGACACAGAATCTGAAGCAGGCTCCAGGCTCCGAGTTGTCAGCACAGAGCCGGATGCGGGGCCTGAACTCACAGACTATAGGATCATGACCTGAGCCAAAGTCAGATGCTTAACTGACTGAGCCACCCAGGCGCCCCAGAAATGACATTTTTGAAAGAACTATAGCCGTTCTCACTAAAGGAATAGGGATGATTCGAGATGAAAATGGGCCTCTGGTCCCCAACCTCCTACAGACAGGAAGCAGGCTAAGAAAACACGAGCCACTTATCATGGAAAAGAAAGAACAATCCAGAAAATGGAGCCAAGATCCCAAAGGATAGAGCCAAGAACAGAGGAGGAGACCTCCAAGGGGCAAAAATGGGCACTAACAACACTCTACAATGGGAGGAGGTAGCAGGGCCTGCCTGACCATACTTGGAATTGCTAAGAATCAGTGACTTCTCAGTGCCCCCAATTTTCCCTCCCTCTAAATGGGAGTGCCCACTCTGGCTATCCTACCCCTATCTCACCATTGCAGGTCAGGTGTGTGGTAGACACAAACACTCTTAATTCACAGATCTTCAGATTGAGATAAATCATAATGGGGTGGGGGGGACAGGAGGGGGCTGCAACAAAGGAACCATGTCCCAAGAGGCTTGTGCATACCTGGATCTGATCCAAAGAGTGAGATCCCGAACTTCAAGCTGATATCATGACATGATGAAACTTTGGGGGGTCTTGGGAGGGGTGAGAAAGAAACGGAAGCTCAGACCGTGGAAGCAGTTTGCTAGAAGTCACACGTCTGGAAAATGGCAGAGTCAGGACTCTCAGTGAGAAGCCTAGTCTGACTCCAGACCCAATGCTCTTTCTCTCCCCCACATTGCTTGTCTCACACTCCTTCCTTCTGTTCTCATCTTCACACATTTCCTTAAGCTCTTTCCCCTCCAGAAATGACTGGGGGATGGGGGTGGGGGAGGGGGGCAAATCACCCTGGTGGAGAACTGCTACGGCATACTTGTCCATTTCTAGAGACATCTTGGGTTGTCCCAATCAATGAGGCGGGGTGGGGGGGAGTGTACCTGGCATCTAGTGGGTAGAGACCAGTGAGCTGCTAAGTACCTTGCAATGTTCAACACAGCCCCCAGCCAAGAGTGCTCCAACCCCAAATGACAATACTGTTGATGCTGAGAGATCTTGGGCTACAGAAATCCATGACCCTACTTGATTCCCTCCATCCATCAGCCTTCTTCTGTTTCACTGTGAATTGGGGTGCTCAAGATCAGAGGGGAGCACCCACTGCCCGTAGTAACTAAGTGGATGGAGGGGTCCTGAGGAAATCTGTGGCAGGGAGCTCCTATCCCAGGACAGCCCTGGCACTTTGAAGACTCTGAGGCACCAGGTTTAATCAGCTACAGTTAGTTTATTGGAAACACAAGAGTGAAAGGAAGGCAAACAAATGGGCTGGCAGTTGAGTCACTGGTTTTTCAGAAGCTTCTGCAGGCAGCCCTGGAAGGAGATGCTCTTCCCTCCCACGGTCACGGGCCTCACAGAGTTACAGGAAAAACCACCGTCGGTGTTCCCCACCTCCATTCCACAGGAACAAGCACACTGGCGGATTCCCAGGAAGTGGAGACAGGGAGAGTCTAGGGCCTGCCCTGTCCCTGCAAGCTTAGCTGAGGGAGTCAGGCAAACAATCCAGCAAACAACACAGAAGGCAGAAGAAAGGGATGAATCCTCAAGACGACAAACCCACTACTAGGAAAGGCTACGGGAAGGGGGCCAAGGTGCCGCCCCAGGTGCACTGGGCTCGGGGCGCCTGGAGGTGGCGCACAGAGGGAGCACGTAGGGTGGACGTGCCTAGTGTGCACATCTGGAGACTGGATGTTGGGGGCGGGCAGCCGGCGGTCGTGGGGCAGTGGCGGGGCGATCGAGGTCCTGGCCGGGTGGAGGGTGACGCGGCTGCGCGCTGGAGGGGGCGCTGCGGCCTCAGCACTTCTTACAGCCCACGCTGCAGGCGCCGCACGAGTTGGTGCCCACCACCACGTTGCCGCTGCAGGGGGCGCTGCAGACGCGGCTGCTGACAGCAGGGGCAGCACCGGAGGCGCAGAGATCGCCACAGACGACGCCACCGCGGGAGCTGCTGACGCCTGCATGGGAGAGGGGGGAGAACGCATCAGGCACGGCCTCGGCCAGGCGGCCAGGCGGCTCGGCGGTCGCAAACACGTCCCTGCGCAAAGGTTTGGCGCCGCCCCCGCGGGAGCAGGGGGAACGGAGGGGTTACTTACAGACATTCACGGCTCCGACACCCTCGCACAGCCTGTTGGGAAAGGAAAAGAGAGAGGTCGGTGTTGTGGGCCAGAGGCTACAGCGAGCGAGGTCCATGCCCTCCTTCTGGGCACTTGCTGAGGGGGAGGGGCTATAAACGCGCCAATCGGGAAGCCGGGGTCGCCCAGCCGCCACGTGGGCTCTGGAGACACGATGCCCGGTGGGCCTGGCTGGCTCAACAACCTTGGATTTGCCCTCTTTCGCTCCACCTGCCTCTTGATCAGGAGTATCTACTCCTAGATTCCCTGTGAGGGTGGAATCCAGTGACACACGTAAGGGCTTCGTGCCTGCCACGTGGTGAGGAGATCGGACCTGTCCGCTGCTACTATGGCTATTGGTTCTGATTGACTTGTAAACGCATTGGAGGAGATGCAGATTTAAGTCCCTAAATCTGGTCTGATTGCTGTCACTACAACGTGGGCTTCAGGAGGGCAGAACTTTCTGTCTTGTCTTTTCCCCACTGCAGAATCCACAGTGCCTAAATCAGTGTTTGGCCCAATAAACAACTGTTGCATGAATGAATGGGATTTTTGAACCGACTTCGAACAGACAGACCGTCTACATGAGTTCCTTCATTTGACAGGTGGAGAAACAGAGACCCAGAGAGAGGAAATAACCGCCAATAGAGGCAGGGCTATAATCTGGGCCACCTAACTCCACTCGACCCTCATTCCCTTCCCATGCAACACATCTCAAGGGAAGGGAACGGGACTCTCTCTGCTCGCACCATGGCAAAGGCTTGACAAGGTCAACTTCAGGTGTGGGGAGAATCCGCAGCCCACCACCTACTCACCCCAAGCCCCAGTTTCATACAGGGCCCACACCAAAGCTTCTGAGTCCTCCCCACCCCCACCCTGCCACAAGCCCAATGTGGTGGAGGGCTGGGCTGCTCAGTATCCAGTGCTAACTCCAGGCCTTCCAAACTCAGTCTTGAGATCTTCTTTGCTGCAGAATTATCCACTAATCAAACTTCCCAGGCCCAGCAAACCACGGGCCAAAGCAACTACTCCAGTTTGCCGCGAGTCTTCTCACTGTGTGACCACTTCAATTCCAGCTACCAAAGCTGGGTCCCCATCTCCTCACTGCACAGCGTGCCCCCAAGGCCTCCTCGGCATCCTCACCCTACACTCTGTTCTGCTGAGGACAAGCAGCCAGGCCATACACAAGGAGAAGGCCCGGAGAGTGAGCAACTGACCCACCTAGGGGCAACATCCTGGGAGTGTAGGACACAAGGGAGATGATCAGTCATCCACTAACCCTGCCACCTCTAACACTGGCAGTAAGCAAACATGCCTAGAGCAGGTGTACTTGCAATACATAAACGTGAGTTCATAAAACCCCCATCTGAGTCAGTCATTATGGGATAAATATGAACCCCTGGGGGATGGGGCCAAGGCCAGGCTTGTGAAGAGAGTTACATTCTGGATTATACACAAGCAGGGCCAGGAGGGGAAAGGCACTTTCAAGGAGGGGTGGCTGAAAGCCCAGACTTGGGTTCTCAGGAAAACAATTAATATGTCCTGACTCCTGGCTCTGAAGCAGATGCAAAAGGTACCAATCTCATAGGAGCACGTAGGTGGGCATGACTGACTCAAGAAAGGCTTGAAACATACTGAAAGGACTTACTCAAATTACCTGTAAAACTGCAGGATGGGGTATTTGGAAATGGGAGTCCAGTGATGCCAGTGGGCACATTGTACGCTAGAAACCCAGGCAGGGCTGGGAGAGGAAATAGGCTACTTTACCCACCTCTGCTCCTCGCCTTCCAGCAGCCGCCTGTAGGTGGCGATCTCGATGTCCAGGCCCAGCTTGGAGTTCATCACCTCCTGGTACTCCTTGACCAGGCAGGCCATGTCCTGCTTGGCCTTCTGCAGGGCGGCCTCCAGCTC